TAATTGACATGTTATGAGAAAGTCACAGCTTTCTTTGCATATTTTTGCCGTGATGGCATGAATAAAGCTTCGGTGTGCAAAACACACCCCAGTTTTCGGGCCAACTACTTACACAATCAGCGTTTACTTAGCAGATTCCTTAAGGCCTCACTGGTCCCGCCAGCACTGCCAAGGCCAATTTTACACAGATGAGCTGTTTCACATCATTCTTCGAATGGGAAACAAAATGTATCCTCCCCTTAACTCCACCCATACAAGGGGGGATTACTTTTCTGCAATGGCGTTTAAAAAATAAAGTGATAACCACATGAAACTTTTCTTTCCTCTGATGTCACAGTTTTCTTTTGTCCCTGTTGTAACTGTCAAGTTTTTTACCCTGAAAATCCTTAGCACTCTTGCCCTGTAACAGCAGTTTCTCCTTTCAAGGGCAGAAAAAACTTTGGTGAAGTGAACTCCATGAGGTCATCTTATCCTACTTTTCTTTCTTAAAGAGACAAGTTGCAAGTTGAATTTAGACCCTGCTCTCCCTGTCTGGCCTTCAAGGAAGAAACTTGTATGAAGGTGCCTGGCAACTCATTCTCCCTAAGTTCCCACTGTCTGGAAATTAATCTCTACTGTAGTGGTCTATGGAACCAGGCCACAGGCATTTACTAAGGATGTGACTTGGGGCTCAGTTTCACTATCTGTAAAATGAAGTAAACAACTGGATTTTTCTTGTATTAAATGTGATATGCATGTACAGCATTTTGTACAGTACCTGTCACATATTTATGAGCTCCATACTTGGAAGCTATCATACATTACAATTATTCTATCTTTCAAGCCAACGATCAAGTCCATTTTTTTGCCTATTGCCCTGCTTTTCAGTTGAGTTGAAGCACAGCTGGTCAAGATCTCCCACTTGTAACCAGCAGCAGCACTAAGTGTAACAGTTAATAGCTAAGTAATGTATCTTGTCTTTTGAGAGGTGAGGATGAAGAATGCCATGTGAGAGTTAGGTTAATTGGAGATCTTGAGATTCCCCTATTTTAAGAGTCCTTTAATCATCACATTTTAAATAAAATCACAAAGCTTATTAGATGGGGAATGTTAAAAATACTGATGCTTCCAGGCCTATTTCAAATAAGTTTACATTTTTTTGAAACTTTAAATTATTCACTAATTGGCTTGGGCCAAACATGATAGAATTGCCTACATTTGGCTCCACCTAACAGGATGTCTGATTTTTCCAGATGATTTTCGGTGTAGGGTTTAGGGTTTGGAAAATAAATAGGAAGTTGGGACTTGCATTTTCAGGAGCCAGTGCTGATAAATTCCTATAGCTAGGGTTTCACCATGAAATAATGACTCAACATTTCATAGACAATGACAACCTTTATATGGATGGTCCTTAATCTTTTTTAGGTTGAGATCCCATTGTAAATCTGATAAAAGCTGGAGATCCCTCTCCAGAGAAATGCACACACTAATATTTATATAAAACCCTGTATTTGATTAACTATTACCATGTTGTCCAGCTATATAGAACCTGTACCTTATACTTTGGTACTAAGAAAAACCACTATTTACAATTTTTATCTCCTGTCTTCATATGCCATGACTAAGGACAAAGCTTGTTGAAATCAATGTCCTAAATCACATAATTTTTCAATGTAAAAACTAGATATACAGAATAACAAAAAATATAAAAAGAATAAAAAAAGAAATCTCTTTGGCCATTCATAAAAATTCAGAAGATACCACTGACTATTCCAAATGGGACCGCAAGAATGACTTGTATATGACATGTTAGCGGAGAGCTGTATTCTGGAGCCTAGGATAGTTATCCTTTGTAACTATTCAAAGCAGAGAGGCTTTGAAATGTTATATCACATGCTGATAATAGGACCTATAAAGAAGGGGTGTCCCCAGGCAAAGAGTGGGGAAGAGGAATGGAGATAACCAGCTGTTCATTTGTTGCTCCAGAGATATGTGTGCCTTTAGGTAAATGTAGTACCTTTAGTTCATTTTCTCTCTGTCCAAATTGCATGTATAGGGAGAATGAATTTATAACATCTTGAGATGAAAATTTCCCACAAAACAAATATGAATGTTGTTTAATTGTAACTGAGATAGTACTACTATGCAATGTGCTACATTATGTATTAAAATAAGTCTCTTGTGGCTGGCCTAGAGATCATGTATAGTACAGTTTCAATGAGGAAAAGAGGTTCTGAGATTCAAGACATTGACTTTCAAATGAACTTTTGTAATGTGAGCAGGGGAATAACTGTATGCTATTAAATTCCATTTCATGTAGCACATAAGCTTACATAATCGGCTCTGCACACCTTTGATATCCACACTGGAAAAAAAAAAGAATCCTGAATAGAAATGATCTTGTTCTTAAAACTGCAGTTAAAGAAAATCCTTTACAAAGTCTAACCTTCATAATCAATAAAGCCATCAATAAGAACAAAGTGAAACTGAGAATTATGCCACTTGTACACCTGTCTGGACACTGAATACATACTGAGCCATATTTTTATTATCTGTGACATAGGAATAATACTCACCTCAAAGAGTTGGTGTGAAGATTAAACGAACAAATAAGTATCAGTTCCTTGAGAACTAAAAATTAGGGTTGATGAGATTGGGGCCGTATATATTATATTCAGCACCAAAAATGTAATGGATACTTAATATTGATTATCATCTTTTAGTCTATATTCTGGTTACTTACAGATTTTTCTCATCTCTGTTTTTATACTATAAGCTGCATTATAGACCTGTGCAATAGTTTAACATGTTTGTGTCCTTTGACATACTTTATATGCAAAGCAGACAATAAAAATATCTGTTGTTTTTTTTTTTTTTTTTTTTTTTTTTTCTTTTTTTTTTTTTTTTTTT